ACTTCTCTAACATTGCAACAATGTAGAAAATGTTTCTTTCGAATTCGGTTTATGGGATTGCAACTCTAGTTATTATTTGTGGGCTATAAATGGGTGAATTATATCAAATGTACATAATTATCTTAATGAAAAAGTATAGTCTTCAGTATTTGACACCTTTATTTTTTAAAATTGGTTCAAAACCGGAACAGGGCATGCCAATAAACGAAATTGAGAGAGTGCAGGAAAAAGAAATTCACAAGTTAACAGATGTGAAACAATTCAAAAAAATTAACTTCTTTATCCTAATCATAAATGATATGATGGTGAGTTTGGTGTCAGTCTATACCTCTGTAGGTTTGAGGCCAAGGCAAGGAATCGATTAATGATGTACTTAAGTTTTGTGTTTTGTTTTTTGTCGGAAAACAGATTCTTTTAGAAAAGGTGTCAAAATGCTGAGGAGAGGATAAATCGTTTCATTTATATTTTGGTAATCAAAGTATTGCTCCACATATGGAAACGTTGTATCATTTGCTCTCCAAGGTCGCCTTAACCATTGGAGAAAACTGGATTTTTTTCGCAAAATTACATTTTTGGTACAGAATCTATTATTTTCTTGTAATGGCCCAAGCTGATTATTTTGTAAAAATGATTTAGCTACCAATTTATGAAAAAAAAATGAAAGAAATCCCAACAGTTTTGTCGGAAAACGTCGATTTATAGCAGCTCCTCCTGCCGATTTAGATAGGAAATTTCAAGAAATTTGAGGTTTTTGGCTGTTCCGAGCTCGTTTCTTACTCCCTCTCTCACAGGCTATTTCTTTGTTCGAGTTGGCCCAAACGGATTTGTGGAGGGAATTTAATAAGCTTGAAGATGATGTAAAACTCATTATGATTGGTTGTGTAGTTTTATCGGAAAATAAGAATAATAGCCCTCCAATCCACGTTTGGCTCTCAAAGGGTAAAAAAATCTCTCAAGCGTGATATAGTCGATGTATGGATATGACGTCATATTTCTATTTGCTTGGCTAGTATTCGGAGTGTTAAGCTTCTTTCTCGTACAATTTGGCTAAATTTTGTTATAATTTGGATTTTTGGTGTGATTGTATTACTTTTATTAAAAACCCAAATGTCCTGAGACAAGATCTTTGCAACAATAACGTTTTATTTGTGCAGAAACTGCAATTTGGAGTGTGGACCGTTCGAAAATTTTGTAGGGGAGCTAACTTACCTAGCATATAGGCCAAGCCAATCCCGCCAACATGAAAGCGTGGAAAAGGAGATAATTACTCTAGTCAATTATCACTAGTCAGTTATACAGGTAATGTATGTCTTTTTTTTAATTTGTGAAATATATAAGCTAAGCTCGCTGGCTCCGTTTATAGAACAGTAAAGTATAAGGTACAGTAGGCTTGGTAGGCTAGGCCTAGCGTAGCGTGATAATGACTGCTTTTGGCCGCTCGCTCTCTGCCGGTCGTTTGCCGTACATACAGTGTGACATCATGTACCTAGGCCTAACATAGGCTCGGTTTTTGACAAAGTATACAAATTCTGATATCAAAATATAAAATCTAAACAACACAGTTAGGATTTGTTATTGTATTTAATATTGTTGGATGAACCTTTCGTTTTAATAATGATATAAATGTTTATCAAAAAATAGAATACCTAGCCTACTACAGTAAGTAAGTACCTATTCCTAAGCCTACCCTATCCAGTATCCTAGGCCAGGTACCAGTCAGTAGACTAGGGGATAGGGTTGGGTGTCTAGGCCTAAATAGGATATGTTTAAATTACTCAAATGACAGTTGCTGGTGATAGAATACTGATAAGAACTTTTGATAAGACAATAAACATGGGATTTTTTTTAATGCTGTTAGCAAGCTAAATGTACATCAATTTCACATTTTTATGATTTTTTAAATGTTTTTTTTTTCAGATGCATTTTATCTGAATGGAACGACCTGTTAGAAAACCCCGCGTCAATTATAAGGAATTGGCTGATGGACCATCCATTTTAAGCGGGACACCGGTAAAGAAATCTAGCTGGTCAACTCGCACTTTCTTTGAACTTAATATTATTGAAACAAAACTAGAAAACGAAGTACTACTTGTCAAAGTACATTATATTGGCTGGTCTAATAAGTACGACGAGTGGAGATTAGCGTCAGATGTTATCAACATTCCAGAAGAATTTATAACTTATACAGAAGAGGCATAGCAGCTCTTTTACAAGAACCTAAAGATTTCAATAAAGGAAGCTTTGCATTGTCAACGAAAAGTGGACAGCCTAGTGGAGATACGCATACAGGTTCCTCGAGATTTGTTTGAGGAACTTAAAGCTTATTGTATTCCACTGAAACGAGGAATATTTCAGTTGACAGACTTCAAATCAGTTGATCATCTGTTGGAACCGGGATGGAATTATAGGATAGTGAATAAGCAAAAAGATTTTGCGTATGTTGCGGAGAAGATTAATTTTCGTTTAAGTGAACGTGAACCGCTTCAAGAATTTGATGCAGATGGGCAGCTGAAATTAACACACCGTGGGTTTATTCTTGTAGTGAAGTTTGTTCGAGGTTTGGGAAATAGTCATGACTTGGTTCATTTCTTAAAGTAAGCAGATCTGATCTATTGAGTTAAAAAAGTTTACATACAGTACAGTATATACATTTTTATGTATGTATGTAGTACTGTACACATCAGTTAAAAAAAAATTAGATCATGTTGCAGCTTTAAATTTAAATTAGTTAATTTTATGATTATTGTACTGTATATACAGTAAATATCCATGTATAAAGTAATTATTATAGTACTGTAGCTACTGCACTCTAAATTCGATATCTTTTGACTGTCTATTAATCATGGCGTCAGCTATTTTATTTCAGATATTCCTTTCTTTTATTACTTGTTTAGCTGTTGAATCTGCTCCCCAGGCAACGTCGGCATTCCCCCACATCTTAAATGTTGAAATAAATAACCTGCTCTTATACAACATTGCTATCAAAGATGTTAGCCACCCTAAATCTTTTGAAAATACGCATACAGTTTTAAAATCTCTCCTTAAAAAAAATAGCATATCAGCTGATAATGTTGACACATCACAAGTAATGAAGACATTACAGTATAAAATTAAAAAAATGTATGAGAAGGTTTCTCAAAAATCTAAAGCAGGTGGAATGACTTTTAAAAATTACCTTAATCAATTAAATAGCACGAACTATACCCTGAAATTGCCACATGCAACTGGCAGCCCAACAAAACGTAAATTAGAAGAGACCCTAAACAATGAAAGAGCTAAGCGACAAAAACTTGAGAATGACATATCTAAATTGGAAAATGATCTTAAGGCAACAAAGTCCGAGAAATGTGATCTTTTGAGAAAAATTGGTAATCCCCAAAGTATTGGCAAAAGAGGAAAAGCTAGAAATAAATTCAATTACAAACAGGCACAGCAGTACAGAAATCGTTCCAGTAATATTAAGACAATAAAAAAAAATGTTGAAGACATGGCTAATGATGCTGGGTTTATTCTGCTTGATTTGAAAATGAAAGATAGAAAGGGAAAATTAATCAATGTTGCTATTACAGATGAAAATGAAGAGGATAATAATGATTTAGAAAAAGAAATCGCGGAAATGGTTTTTGTCTTAGATACCTTCAACATTTCTATAAAGGGTTACAATGAAATAGCACAACGCTATGGTAATCTTCCAAGAATTAATGCCATTTCTAAAAAAAAACAGAAAATGAAAGAGATGTGCCCCTTAACAAAAATTGATAAAGAAATTGATGGTAACAGACATATTGGGGTTTTTCGGTCAATAGAGCAAACTCTTCAGTCGGTATTAAATGACCCAAATAAATCTCATTTAATTAAAGATGGTCTGATAAAAATAAAACTTAGTGGGGATGGAACACGTGCAGGCAAAAAAAAGCATTTCGTAAATTTCACCATAACAATCATTGGGGAAGACTCATGTAAATCAGAACAAGGAAATTATCTTGTGGCTATTGTAAAGTGCCCAGAAACCAATTTTTATTTAAAATCAACATTAAGTGAAATGTTTGAGGAATTTGATAATCTTGAGTCGATTGATATCAATAATAGAACTATTCAGGTTGAAAAGTTCCTAGGTGGTGATCTCAAATTTCTAAATCAAATTACAGGAATTGGTGGATTTTCCAGCACTTACTCATGCTTGTGGTGTAAGTGCCCAAAAGATTTGCGCTACGACATGACAAAAGAATTGTCCATGAGTGACATAACTAAAGGGGCACGAACTCTCGAAGAAATTCGTATGTATGCTGGGAAAAAGAAAAACAATTTTAACTGTACATCACAACCATTATTTCACTCAATTCCTCTTACCAAAATTGTCCCAGACACATTGCATCTATTTTTAAGGATCGCTGATCAACTGGTATACCACATCATTAAATATCTGCAAGATCTCGATAATCATGTTCGTCTTTCATCTGATAATTTATCTAAATGTCAGAACTTGCAGAAGTTTCAGACATTTATTGCAAGCATTGGTATGACAGATTGGTATTTTTTTGTAAAAGACGGAAAGCTCAAATATGATTCATTTACAGGCCCTGAACATCGTGCTATATTGTCCAAGACATTATTCCAGACCATCCAAAACTTGGTGAAATAAAGACATCCTGGAAAAATTTCCGGGAACTTATGGACCAACTAAATATGGACATGACTGAAAATGATATACTTAACTTTGAACAGAGTGCAAAACAATGGGTACATATATATGGTAGTCAGTTACATTTAACTAAATATGTGACGCCATATATGCATATTTTGGCATACCATATACCTGAAGCAATCAGAAACCATGGAAATATAGTTAATTTTTGCCAGCAAGGGTTAGAAAAACTAAATGGTTTAGTAACAAAGTGGTACTTCCGATCAACTAATTATGATTCTAATGCTCTTGCTCAAATCATGCACAAACAAAACCAGCTAAGAATCCTAGAAGGGACATGTAGGCGACTGCCCAAGTTTCAAACAGTTTATTCTAAATGCAAACAAATAGGTAACCACAATAAACGAACATGTAAAAATTTACGGGTCTAAATTAAAACCCATTTTCTAGTACTGTACTTTGTATTATGACAAGATTACAATTAAAGAATTTTTCTTTTTAAAAGGTGAATATTATTAACTCTTACAATTATATATTATATACAATATTATACAGTGTACAGTAAATATCTTGGTATTTATACAAAACAGGGTTGTATTTTAAAGTAATAGCATATCTGCTGGTTTAATCCATGATTATATTTTCATTTACAGTCCTGGTATTGATGGTATTAACAACAGTTATGACATTGTTTATTAAGGACAAAGTAAAAATTTCAAGTTTGATTTGTAATCAGTTATATACAATAAAGATATTTGCTAATTAGGTAATAGTATTACCCATTGATAACAATTAACTTTATTCGCAACATGCAGTATTGACAATTAGGAGTAGGCCTATTTTTTACATTGTACTGCTACTGTGTAATGTATAGCTTTAGAATTTTTTTTTAGTATGTGACTGTTTTGGGTAGTATTTTTATTTTGTTTTAATGTCATCTATTTGATGTATTGGTGATTTTGTTAAATTTGTGTATGTTTTACTGTAGTAGCCACAGTGTAATAATGAAAATCCAAAGAAGTATCACAATATACTATTGTGCAAGCTAAATAATCTGCCATTGTTTTATCAATATTCAATATTTTCACAGTCTCAGCTAGCAACTCAAATATATATATATATATATATTTATCTATATATTTTTTTTAAATTTTATAATAAAAGAAAGCAATATTCCTCATACGTTACAGTACCTTGAAGTGTTAGTAATAGATTTACTTCTGTTCATAGTAATTAGATTGTATAAAATGATTGATGTCAGAATTAAATCTTTCAAGTATATAAGCTGCAGTGGTTTTTATTATAATCACAAAACTTGTGCTATTATACTTAAGTTTTTAATTTATAGTAATGTGTCAATCATATAATATTTTGATTTGATTTGTGTTGTAACAATATTTCAATTTGTATTTTTTCCAATTTATCAATATACAACTAACAATATGTGTGTCATTTAATTTCTTTATTTGCTGAATATTTTTTACAATATATTTGTATTCCTTGTTAAATGTGTATTAATGATTGCAAAATATTTTATACAGTATCAACTTAAATAATTTGTATTGTAATTCCAGAGTACAATCAATGTTAATGTTTTTACTTTCATATATTGTACTATTAAACAACTCTACAGTAGCAAGTTACATTCAAATTTATTTCTTTTCATTGAGTAAATAACAATTTGTTGTTTTGTATGTGGTCAAATAAAAGTTTAACAAAAGAATATTTACTGTGCAAGTTGAATTTTGTTAGTATTGTAACCCCATAATGAAAATGGAACAACCCAAAGCTTTTAATTGGTGGATGCTAACTACCTGCACAGCAGGGTACAATTGACCTAAGTTCCCTGCTTCTCTGAGAGCTGAATTAGCAAATGATAAAAAGTGGCAAAAACGTTTCCATATGAATGTTGATGGCTAGGTCTTGAATGTCTGCTCTCCATTGCAGTAGCCTAGCTAAGCTAACTTGGTACACTATCGGGCCTAACCTGGCAAGTCCTATTAGGCCTTACCTACTTACTTTCAATCTTCAACTAGCCTGCCTACGGCCAGGCCCTAGGTAGGCCCATGCCCAGTCCTAGGGCCTAGCCCTAGTAGTAGTAGTAGTAATAGTAACAGTAGGCTAATTAGGCCTAGTCTCTAGGCCTAGGTCGCTTTAACTTTACCGAAGATAACTAGTGCCTATAAGTAATAATTGGAAATTAAAAAAGGATATATTATAGTCATATACGTTCTTGTACAAGGAAAACTTACTGAACTCACTGATCCTTTTGTTTTCCAAGATAAAGAACCGACGTAAACGAACTTTACATGTGCTCTCCTCTTCCATACCACTGCGTGCGCCAGGGTTGCCAGATAGTCGACAGGCTTCACGGCCAAACACACGTCATCTCACGGCCAAATTCGGCCAAACTTTTTTTCAATATCGGCCAAAATTCGGCCAGATTTTAATCCGATTAGAATACAGTTATATGGGTACATATTCATTTGAAATACTGCAAAAATTACAGGAAAATCAGGGGCCGTTCGTTTGAAATTAAAGAAATTCAAATAATATACACAGAACAATGTTAAACTTCTTTTAATTAATCTATCACCATAAAATACATGCCCAGCTACATCATAATATAAAATAGCCTAGGCCCTATGTTCTTTAGTTGCTGACGCCCGAAAATAACCTTATGCGTTTGGGCGATCAATTTTTCTTTTTTTCTTTTTTTTTTCACCATTCCCCACCCTAAATCCGCTTCTGCTATTTAAAATCACATCATTAAGATTGATCTAAATTGATTTAAATGTATTACATATTAACGTAGATTGTAGTCGATCTATAGCAAACATTTTAAGGTCCTGTTATTGGTCAACCCGTTTCTCTCTTTAATTAGAATGAATTAAGTTACATAGTTAGGTAACACAAACTGGCGTTAAAACCAGAGTCTCTGCAACACTTGCTTGAAATTGGAGGTGCCATCGGACCCGGATAAGCACATCGAGCATTTTATATATGGCGCTCTACATAAAGAACACTGCAGCACCTAGGGCTATACAATTCAAGTGGGCAATAATAAATCAATTAAGTACAGTATTTAATTTATATTCAAAAGAAATTAAAAAAAGATAGAACCTCCACTAGAATGGAACATACAAAGACACACAGTATGGTACAAACTTGCATTGAACTTCATAAAAAATATGTATTTCATCCGAACAATTTAAATTATTAAATGTAACTGTTATCTTTTAAATAAACTCTCTTACCTCACATCAGCTAAAGGGGGAAAATAGATTAAGTGTTTAGTGCAAACAAAGGCACATGATTCAGGGGCGGATCCATGATTTGGAAGAGGGGGGGGGTTCAAAACGTTTCCAAAAATACCCAAAATGAAAGGTGGTCCGGGGGTCCTCCCCATGGAAAATTTCCCCCTTGAATCCGCCATTGTATGGGGAATCCTTTAACGCTCAGGTGACCTAGGGTTCTAGATGTGTATAAGAGACAGGGCCTATACTCGCGTATAAACGAGGATTAAAATAGCAAACTACGATCGAAAAAAGGGGGTCGTCTTATACGCACAACATTCAGATTTTAGATTTTTATATTCATGTTCGTCTTATGTGCGGATGTTCGTCTTATGTGCGGATCGTCCGTAAATCTGGTTTTCTACTAGGCGAA